ATACGAGATATCCTCTTCATCATCGGTGTCTTGATTGAGCTTCAGGTAAGGATTCGCCGGTTGCGGACGAAACAGTATTCCGACTAGTATGAAAAATATGAGTGTGGAACACTCAACAATTGCGTCAGTCACCCATTCTTGATCAAAAGGCAAGGCGTACTAAAGAAGTTTTTGATTGAGTAGCTAATACTTAAAATAATGATGATTACCTGCAGCAGTAACTTGATAACCCTGGTTAAATACACATACGATATCACAATCATGTAAAAATGCCGGAAAAGTCGAAGTTTTTCGAGGTTGAAGGCAGCTTTTCCATCACTTCGCGCACCCTCTGACAGATGATGCATGGACCTACAGAGGGTGTTTTCACAATGGAGAAATTCGCTGCCAAAAATCAATACTGAAGACATGCAAACTCACCATATAATGGGGAATATGATGAGGAAACAGCAGATCATATCGATGAATACAAACATCTCAAACCAAAGCTGATACCCTTGCTGCCCAAATTCACTTTCTTCCAGAATAACCATCGCGATATTGTCCACAATCTGTTAGTATGCTTGATTAGGTCGCTCTACATAAAAAACTGACTAGAAATCATTAAGACAGATAAGACAAGACTATTACAATACTGCGCTTTGACTATAAAACAACAAGCTCTGACAGATATATCGCGCAAGTAGTAAAGACAACCAAAGCTGCTGATGAAGAAGAAAGAGCACATGCGATTTAACCCGTTTAAAGGGCAGACGCAGAGCAAGCTGAGCCACGCCAATTTGCAGAACTGGGTGAATAAAAAATAGGATTTCAAAGCATTGCAAGAGCGTATGGATATCCTTGAAGCAATAAAACATGGGCACCGATGAAACGGCGACAAACAAAAAAAGATGGCTAACAGAAATATATTTGATAAAATCTAGTCGAAAATAACAGATGCAACAACCTGACGAATTATGGAAATGAGGTGAGCGGAAAAGGCATGTTTTGATAAAAGTTACCTGTAAAGGCAGCACCACCATGAAGACTTTTCTATCACGTTCAGTCAAAAAGTTTTTGAAAAACGTGTATCCAGTACCAATAAGGATGATAGTACCAAAAAGAAGGGCTCCTTTTAACCTAAAAAATCAAACTGAAAAGCGATTCATCAAACAATGGCAA